CTTGCACCTGTCCCACAGATTCCAGAGTGGGGAGGTGTCCATCAAGAGCATTGGGAAAATTCCTAACCTGTCTGGTCACAAGGCAGTTTCCAAAGTCCTCCACCTCATTTCTATGCCTTAGAAGGTCACCCCACAGGAAATGTGCTGGATTGATTGATGCTGACAGGGACTTATTTGTGGTAGAAATGAAAGTAATAAACCTCAAAGATTGGGATCCATTCTGGGTGTCGCGCTGTGAGAGGAGCACTGACAAATTGGAGTACATGGAGGGGGTGGGGGCTAGAACCACACTAGAGGCAAGAGGTAAGTCCGGGCAGGCATCTGGCCCTGTGTGGAGATGACCCAAGGGGGATGAGCCNCAAGAGGTAAGTCCGGGCAGGCATCTGGCCCTGTGTGGAGATGACCCAAGGGGGATGAGCCATTTGTAAACGTTTCAAGCCATCACATAGAAGAGAGATGGGCCTTATTTTGTGTCAGTCCAGATGATAAAATTAGAATCATTGGTAAGATCAAAAAGGTTGTTAACCTCCAATATATATAACATTTATTTTAAAAAGAAAAATATTAATGATTGTGATTATAGCAAGAAAAAAAAGGGGGGGGTGTAGGAAAACGTGTTTTCTTATGCTTAGAGCTATCTGGCCATGGAATGGGCTGTCTTGCTGGGTGACACTCATCCGTAGAAGCTGGGCACAATCTGATGGCTTTGTGTGTAAGTTTTATTGACATTACCATACAGCCTGGAGTAGTCTTTAGTCTCCTGAATGGGGAACCAAGGCTAGAACTCTCCAGGCTCAGCTAAAAAAACACCAGCTGACAGTAGCAGTTCTGGACAGTGATGGGGCGGGCAGATCTGTGAGGCGGGGATGGAGAGAAACAGCTCAGGAGAAGCAGCGTCTCTCATGTAAGACCTGACGCACAGGAGGAGCCTCGTCCACGCGGGCAGAACGAGGAGGTGGCGTGGCAAATGACTGAGTTCTGGAATCAGCCAGCCTGAGCCGAATCTCTGCTCTACTTTTATAAGCTGCATCATTTTGGGATCAACCAGTCAGCTTCTGAAAGCCTCAAATTCTTCAGCTACGGAAAGGAGATGACAGCAGTACCTACCTTATTAGGGTCATTTTAAAGATTAAATGATGGAAGTGATAGTCAGACCAACCCTATTTTTATTCCATGCACACAGGTCAATTTGGAGGTAGCAGCTTCCCAGACATTTTCCTTT